CGTTATAGCGAATTATTCTAACGAACTGACATTGTAAAATCATAATTTAATTATAATTTATCGCAAGTATACGCAATATACAGATCAAACTAACGATTCGTGCAATTTAATTAAGTTTCGATGAATAAAATCATGATTTGGTTACGTAAAGAGATTCGAATATGCGCCCCATCTTTTATATGCTTCCTTCTTCGGAGGAAAGGGGCAATTTTCTCTTTCTTGATACGCGAATCGAGTTTATGATATAAATAAGCATAATTGCCTTCAATTTCAATTCTCGTGCGTTTTAAAACGAGACTGCAAACCATTGCAAAAAATATAATCTCAACCGTTCGAGGAAACAACGATCGGTTTTGACACACATAACAACGAAACGCATAGGAAAATTTTATAGTTGATTCAAAAAAAAGATTCCAAAAAAAAAAAAAAAGAAAAAAATAATAATCATTCCTCGGTGGATTAATTTTAAAATGGCGGCTGGTCGAAATTGAAACGCGATGTCCTCCTATTTTTCCCCCTCCGAAAGAATGATCTTTTTAAACGCCTTTCATCGGGATGGAAGGAAACTCCACGGAAAGATTTTATCGGGGATGGCTCCGTCGACGGCCTTTCAGCAACAAATTAAGGATTTTAAGCCGAAAGTAATTAGTCCCGGCGAACAAGGTGTCACTCCGTGAAAACGAGGAGACGGCGAGTCAGCCTTCATTGTTTTCCCCATAATCCCCCGGGAGAACGTTCATAAGTTCCTTCTTCTTGGCTCGAAGAAAGAGGCTGGGAAGGATGATTTCGCTTTACGCACGGATTAATCGCCCTATCGGCCATCTTCCCTTTCTCTCTCTCTCTCTCTCTGTCTCTGTCTCTCCACCCTCTTTTGTCCACTTTCGACGTAGAGCGTTCCTCCAAATTTCGCCAAAAACCTTTTCTAATCGAAGAAATACTCTTCCATTAACGAAAAATTTGTTTCGGTCGAAATTTTTCATCCAACCAAAAATTTCTGTTTTCCAAAATCGAAGAGGAAAATTTCTTGTTAAAACGGAATAATGTAATTTTCAAACGTACGTCGTACCGAGAAAATGGGAGCAGAGAGAAAAGAAGGGAATATTGGAAATGAGATCGCGATCAATTACTCCTGAAACTGGAAAAGGGATTGCGGAACACGAGATCTTTCCGTCTCTCTTTTGTCCCCAACCACCGTTATAACCTGACGCGATAATCTTATTTAACCTTTCGCTCGGCCAAATGGATTATTCCGGCCGGCGGTGAAAGCCCGTTCGAAAATCGTGGATCCTCTTTAGCCACTCCGCCCCGGCGCAGTTGGTTAATTAAAAGATAAAGAGAGAGGGAGGAAATAGGAGCGATAAAGAGGAGGAAGTAATAGAGAGGAAGAGACCGGCCGGATGGGGATTTGTATCCCGATCGTGGCCTAACAACCCTTTCCTCCCTTCGATCTCCTACGATTCCCATCAACGTTTCCACTTTGCTTTATTTGCGATTTCGCGATTTCTTTCTTTCCTTTTTCTAAATTTTTAAATTTCTAAATTTCTAAATCGTAAAAGTATTTAGATCCCGACGATAAAGTGATATATTTTACGAAAACGTTGGAAACTCAATAATAATTCTTCTCACGTATATTTATTATAATCTTAAAATTATTTACGAAAAGAATGGATGAAAAATTAAAAATTTGAGATAATTTTCATTTATTCTACTAATAATAGTAATATATATATATATATATATATATATATATTAGCGATCGAGATGTTAAGAAATCTTTATCAGAGAAATAATAGAAGGAATTTCGCGAAAAATATGACGATACATCGAACGACAACCCTTCGAAGAAAGCACCCCTCGAGAATAGCGCTACGTTCGAGCCGCTTAACCGTGAATTTCACCCTCCCTAAAACTCTGCGAATTTCACGAGGAACCCGCCAACTGTGCCTCCCAGTAATGTATGCGGAAGCCTGACAAAGGAACATTAACATTTATATTTGCGAAGACGTGGCCGATCAGAGACGAGTCTCCGATACTCCTACGACTTCCGTTATGGAATTGCTAATGATAAGGAAGGGATGAAAACGTTTATTTTATGGGTGTATTATTGCGCCCTTATTATTGACTCGCGAAAAAATATTTTTCGAGGGAAAAAAGAACGAACACGGCGCGCATGGCATACACAATGGCGTTCACGAGGCCAATAATCAAATTCCTCTCGCTGTGGCGATGCTCCAATGACCAATGGAAAAAAATTGGTACGAAATCGAATTACATAAGTTCGGGAGGGTGGTGAGGGAGGTAAAATTTCAAGGAAATTTTTTTTTTTTTTTTTAACGCGAGAAAAATGGGAGAACATCGTGCATGCTGCGATTAACCTTCAAAATTCCATATATAGGAGACGGTTGAATCGCACGTGCGTGCAAATGCATCGGAACGAGTGTGGACGAGCGGAAAGAGAATAGAGAAAAAGAAATAGTAGGGGCATGGCGGTGAAAATAAGCGGGTGGTTCGGGTGGGGAGAGGGAGGGAGGGGAGGTGCGTTTATAAGCCACGGGCTTTTTTGTAGTGTAAATGAATAGGTCCGACCCTCGTTCGTCATGGGGAGAGTAGAGTGTCCGAAACTTTTGCAATTTTACGCGGCGGCTGCTCGGTGCATTCATTTTCCTGAAAAATTTAAAACTCCCTCTCTCCTCCTCTCTGTTCCTGTGTGCACGTGTGCGCGGGAATCTCTGCTTTTTTTCTTCTTTTCCAATTACGAACGAACGAACGAACGAATGGACGAACGAGAAAGATCTCGAGTGTGCGACGAAAGCTCGATCACGTTCACGCTTTATGTTTTATCTCCCTCTGTAAAAACCAGATCATATCAATCGAATATAATATAATAAAATATAATCCGAATGGAAGTGATAATACAGCGGAGAAGACACGGGGAGGATACTTTCTTATCACAGATGATATAGAATATTCTTAGCATTCGATACATTTTTTTTTCTCTCTCTCTCTCTCTCTCTCTCTCTCGAAATAAGACTGTTAATCATTGTTTTAATAGTTAATTGTACGTTTTAGAAATTCTCTACAAGAGATTATAAATGGCAAATAAATAGATTCGACAAATTTAAAGATTTTCGATAGGATCGTTTCTTGACACAAATAAAAATTTCTTTTTTTTTCTTCATATTATAGAACTGAGAATATCTATACTTTTTATTATGTTATATTAACGATTAAGATATGTTTAGAAAATTTAGAAAGAGAAATAATAAAAGTACGTTCAATTGATATTCCATATTCTATAGTCGCGCGCTAAAAATAAATATAAACAAGGGGAGAAAATAGTGAAAAAAAAAAAAATATAAAAATAGAAATAGAATAAAATTATTGAAATTAACGCATTTTCAGAGTGCCATAAATAAAATATATAGAAATAAAAAAAAAAGACAAAATATAGTGGGAGAAAAATAAGAGTTAAAAAAGGAATTGATCATCAGCGCCATCTCTTAGCTATCAAAAGATATCTTTTTATTCATTTTCAGAAGATAATCAAAAGAAGGCGTTGAGTTAAATTCTTTTCTGTTTTATCCTGCCGTTAAAGAGATATCTTTGATATTCAAGAGATGGTGCTAAAAGTTAATTCTTGTTCTATCTCTATCCTTTTTCTACTATTTCTATTCTTTCTTTTTGCGTTTCATTTACGATATTCTGAAAATGGCATTAATTTCAATATTTTTATTTTATCCATATTTTTTTTATATTATTTGTTTTTATTATTTATATACTTATTTATTATACTTATTTATTATACTTATTCCGTATTTTATTCCTGTTTTTATCGTTAACTATATATATTTTTTATATATATTTCATTATACATTTTTATTTTTATATATTTATATATAATATATATATATAATACTCATATGTATAATATAAATATATATTGATATTTTAAAATAAAGAACACAATTATTCTGTATCTCATCTATGTTCATCATCGATAAATCATGAATTTAAACAGGGATATCGCAAATAAAGAAAAAATGCTATATATAGAAAACATAAGAAAAAAAAATGGAGCAATCACGTACTTGCTTTTTGCATTTCAGAATTATTTTAATTACTTTCGATTTTAATTAAATATCACTATTTTTTATCATAACAATTTCCTCTTTGCTTTGATTAGAAAATGAAGAAATAACGTGTCTCTTTGCTGGAATCTTTATTAGAAATTTTAACTTGCTAAAATAACAAAGATAATTAATCTTATCGAATACAATGAATGAAAACATATATAATGTGAAAACAATTTAACAATTTATCATTTGCGATCATTCGAACATAAACATTCGAATAACGAAACATAAATGTTTTCTTATTAATTGTTCTTATTAATTGCATAACAATTTGCTGAAAAACATTTTGTTATTCAAAATAATTAGGGGAATTTCAGGTAACAAATGTAGGGAATAATAATTATTTTATAATTATAAAGAATTATATTTATAAAATAAAAGTAATATATAATATTATGAAACTTAAAAAATTAAAATTAGCAAGTTTTTGCAATTTTCTAATATATATTATCCCTAATTTATAATAAATAAAATCCCCTAATTATGTTGATTATCTTTATTATTATAATATAATTAAATCGAAACGTCACTCATATCCCTGATATAATTAGGCACTTATTTTAATTGACTGGCATGATGGTAATGCATTATTGCAATGGAAGCCAAGTATTAGAAAATGTAATTAATTTTAATTCTACACAATATATATAAAGGAAGAAAATGAATTCTTAAGAAAAAGAATCATGTACAAAGCATGAAATTAGCGATTATATAAAAATTCGTATTTACAAAAATCTAATATAAATTTTAGGCGCATGATTAATAATGAATATCTATTGTAAAATATAAGAAGTGCTTTACATAATTATTTAAAAACTATTTGCTTAATGAATATCTTCATATGCATCTAAGAAAACGCTTAATAAACTTTTTCTTAACAAATATAATTTTATCAACAACTAAAACATTTATTATTTGCATATAATAAATATTTTCTCTTGTACTATTACGCTAATTTATAAGGCACTAGGATCATTTATTTTTTGTTTAATTATTATGTAAATAATGTATTAATTATTTTTTCAATTATGTTTAAATACATAATTCTTCTACTATTAATAGTTGCACAGAATAAGGAGAAAATCATTCAATATATCGCAAAATGCGAAAGCACAAGACAACTTTTTATGCACATTTCTTCAACAAACAATTTTACTGTGGCAGTAATGTCAAATTTGTGTAAACATAGAAATTATATTGAATTCTTCAATCTTTAAATCTTTAAATCTTTAAATTTTTTAGATAAATAATAATCATATTTTTATCATTTTTCTAAACTTGGCAAGATTAATATTCTAGATTAATAAGTAAAATTAATGATTTTCAAATATACAAATTTTGCATATAATCATAACATATTTAATTATTTGACATAGCAATACTGATTTCTGTACAATATAGTTGTTAAATATAATTCCAACAGATTGTAAAATTCTGCTGTAATGAGTTTCATTTTAAAATAAATCAATATATGCAAAATTTGTTATATGTACATCTTAATTTTGTAATTAATAAATACACTATATTTAGGAACTACGCGATAAACTAATATCAGTGTATATTTAAAACTTTCCGTGTAAACTTACCTCATGAATAAAATTCTAACAAATGTCACGAATATTACATTCAACATTATAATCATTTTAACAAGAAGATTTCTATTCTACCCTGATAACGAATCTCAAATAAACTAATTCCAATGTAATACACAATTTAACTACTGCTCCTTTTTATTCATATAATCTTATTAATTATTGCTTTGTCGATGTTTTAATATAGCTTGCCATATCCTTAATTCAATTCCTCCTCTGAAAAAATAAAAAATTTATCAATATTGACTACAATATAAAAAAAATCTTATATTTACCTGAAATTAAGTCTGCGAATATCGTCACGCGTAATATGATTTAAAATATCTTCTAATGTATATTGCTCATATAGGAACTAGAAAAAGTAATAACATTTGTTATAATTTTTTACTCAATAGAAAAAAAAATATCGATATAAATTTTAATATTTTTACCCTTTCAATTGTCATTTCATCTATCTGAAGATTTTGTAACCATTCAATAAGAGCCTGGTCTGCGCATGAAGTATTAGAAGGTGTATCATTAACAGTTAAAGAAATTAGCTGTTGTGATGTGTTTCCAGATATTGATGAATTATAACTATATACATAACAAGATATAATAACTGTAAAAGATTTATTATATATTCAAAATTACGAAAATAATTAAGTCTTACCCTGATTCTTGTTTCATAATACGCCTATTTATACTTTCACAAAGACGTGTTAAAGTATTAACTTGAACTTTTTGTTCTTCGAGAACTTGTTGCAACAAAGCTTGATATGATTTTTGACTTTCAATCAATTCTTGTAATAATCTTAAATTATCCATTTTTAAAGCTCCCATTTGATCCCGATATTCTTTCCAGTATTTGTTATCTAAAGAATCGCCAGTTTTCTGTGATTTTACAGAATTTACGGTTGATACGCCAGATATAGATCCTTCTTCTGGTCCTTGACCAGCAGATTGCACACGCTCTTGACCAAGCAAGTTAGCACCAAGTTCTATAAATAATGTATTAAAGATTTTAATTTATTTCAAAATAATTTTCTAATACACA